AGCGACAGTCGGTTTAGAAACAACCTGATTAAGATGTTGGTTGGTTTAAAAACAACAGGTTGTTTGTGTTCGAGGTGAATGACAACCTTTCGACAGACGGTGTTCGATAATGAATATCATACCCAAAAAGCCTCCAACATGCCTCACATGCGGAAATATAACGACAGTTATAGAACTCACCAATTTCGTCATGGTCGTTATTTTCTATCTGTTGTTTTTTCTTTTTTGTTGGATCAACAATAGATGCTGTTATCCTATCCGGTCCTTTGTTAATATACTTAAAAAGATACTTTATCGATCCAACTTGGTTACACCACTCTAGATTCATGTGAGCTTGATATTGTTTCAGAAGGATCTTATTATATGGAACAACATTTATGAAAAATCAAGAAAAATGTCATAAACAACATTAAATGATAATTTGAGGTTAACATAGGAAGAACATAAGAAAACATATATAATGAGTAATATTTTTTTATAGATTACATTATCCGTTTAAAAATAAAATATTAGTACCATTTTATTTAAGTTGTTTATTGATATTTATGTATTTAAACATATAATAATATATTTCATAAAAACAAAACAAATTTAAAGAATTAAAATTTAGTAAATCATTGAAAAGGATTTGTGTATACCTGTTGTCTAAAGAAACACCGTTTTTAAGGACATTATTTCCATCGTTACGTCTCCGGTAAATAGGATAACCATCTTCATCAATATATGTATGCTTAGTAAATTCCTTTGGAAACCGTTTTGAACATTTGCCTTTTTCATACACGGCATAAAGTTGATCGTTGCCACAAGGTCCGTGTATCATGTTATCACAAACAATCTGATACAAATCGGGTTCACTATCCTTGTCTGGCAATTCAGCACATATAACACGGTCTATGTCTTCGGGATTTGGAATTTTAGAATTTTTTCCAAAAACAGACATACATGACAATATGGCAGGCCCCTCTTTTGAAACTCAATCGTATATACAACTGTGTGAGAAAGAAAGCAACCAGGGTTAAAAGATAAAATTATCGAAAAGTTATAATGTTAATGAGTAAAAAATATATAAGATTGATACCTCCACCGACTTCACCCAAAGTTTTTTTCCTTCAATTGACTGATTAATGAATCAATTTAATTTTGAAAATTCGTGTCAGAATATCTGGCCTGTCTTCCGGTTTAAGATTCTCGGCTTCAACAAATCTAATGACTTCTGGCCATTTAGGATTACATGTAAGGGTTAAAAAAAGATCTGGATAACCAAACCACTTAACCAGAGTCATCGCATCTAATTAGTTTTGTTGCATGTAACGGCTGCCGCCAGTAAAAGAAGATGGTATAATAATATGGTTTCCCATCAAAGAAGCATCTTCAATGCCATCTTCAGCTGCCTGGGCCAAGTTGCGATAAGGTGCCACGCGTAATGTTGGCTGGTTAAACCTAATATAACTAAGTCGTTCATTTTCAACCATTGTATACGAATCAACCAAAACTGTTGGAATAGTTTTCTTGAACGTAATATCAATGATATTTCATCGGTTCTCTGTTGTATACGATAAGCAAAAAACTCTCGCATGGTAAACCTTATTCGTCCATCAGATTCTGGATCTTCAACACCACGATGTAGTATATCGACTCGAAATCCATCTTCGGCATAAGGGAATATAAAGGATATTGAAGTGCAAGATATTGAGGATGCAACTCATTAATACGTTGAAGTTGTCGACTTTGCGTTTCCAATACGATATCCCTTGAATCATACCCATCAATGTCACCTATAATGAGGGCAGCTACCTCATTTGTGGTAGGAAGATTATACTGCCTACCATCATTTCTCTTGACCCAATCAATTTCAACCTAATACGCTCTGTTGGATTTGAACCAAAGCGATCACGTGCCATTCTAAATTGTTTAGCCAGTGGATTAATGAAATCCAATAAGCCCATCAACTCGTGAATAGTCCAGAACTCAAGAGAAAACGGATTTGCCATGGACTCATTAGATGTGGTCTTTTTCTTCTTATTAGACCTACAATAACATAATAAAAAAAATAATGGATATAAATTTTTTGTAGTATATATATATATATATATATATATATATATATATATATATATATATATATATATATATATATATATATAACTATGGAGTTATATAATATAGGGTATTCACACACTCGCATGATTTGAATCTGTTTTGAACCTCATGATCTGTATCATACATGTACAACTGGCAAAATCTGGGTGATTCACCCTCTTCGGGAAGTAAGCTGCCTGCAATATGATAATTTTGGCCATGCATTCGATAAACATAAGGACCACCTCCTGAGTTAACGGTGTGATCAATCTTTCCAGCCATAGATGTGAATGCGAACATCATATTGTATCGACGTATATTCTGTATAAAGTTTTGACTTTTTTCCGAAAGACCGCTATATAAATCAAGCAACAACTGAGGTGGGTGAATCAGACT